TTTCACATATTCGCCATGACATGTGGATCGATTTATTGCTCCAGTTTCAATTTACTGCAACAAATACATTTTCATGCAATGTTTTAGTGGTAATAGTTTTAGGGATATTTTTGTTTGGAATTTAAAAATATTCTCACGGGAAAACAGTATATTTTTTATAGGATAGGGTGACAAACAAGCACACAGTCCACCTGATGGTAAGTGCTTGCTGTGGCCCATAGACATCTACATCTATCCTCGTTTGCGAATCAAAATGCAGATGCGTTGTTACCCGTGAGGACTAAGATGGAATGCCTCTTTTCCAGTAAAACGGGTCTCCGGTTCTCTTCACTCACCATACGAAACTCAGCAGTGTTAAACTGCTATTTTACGCTGGTATTCTGTGAGAGCGTGGTCCTTCCTCGGTCGAGCCGACCCATTCGTGCTAACCAAATTAATATTACATACGTTTTTTTTTATAAATAAAACTAGTTTTTACTGATTACTGTAAACTAACTTATTTTATATTCCCGACGTTTCGAACACTTAACAGCACCCATGGCCACGGGGGGAGGGGGGAGAATATATATTAAATAAATACTAATGTTCACCTAGTGATTGAAATTCTTTTTTTTTTTTTTTTTTTTTTATAGAATAGGGGGCAAACGAGCATGCGGCTCACCTGATGTTAAGTGACTACCGCCGCCCATGAACAACCGCAACACCAGGGGAATTGCAGATGCGTTGCCGGCCTTTTAGAAAGGTGTAAGCTCTTTTCTTGAAGGTTCCTAAGTCGTATCGGTTCGGAAAATTCGCTGGTGGTAATTGATTCCACAAAGAAGTTGTGCGAGGGAGAAAACTTCTTCTAAATCGCACAGTGGTGGACCGCCAATCATCCAGATGGTATGGATGGTAACGCGAGTTTTGTCGCGACGTGCGATGGTGAAATTGAGCGGCTGGAATTAGTCCGAACAATTCCTCAGAGCACTCCCCGTGATAGATGCGATAAAATACGCAAAGAGATGCAACATCTCTACGCAGTGCCAGTGTATCGAGCCGATCAGAAAGAACTCGGTCGTCGACGATTCGAATCGCTCTGCGCTGGATGCGGTCAAGTGGAAGGAGCTGGCACTGGGGTGCCCCGGCCCAGAGATGAGAACAGTATTCCATGTGGGGCCGAACTTGCGCTTTGTAAAGTTGCAAGCGATGTGCCGGCATGAAATACTGTCTCGCTCTGCTGAGCACGCCAAGCTTTTTAGAGGCCAATTTGGCCTTCCCTTCCAAGTGACCACGAAACTGCACGCTATTCGATATGTCGACGCCAAGGATTCCGATACTGGCTGAGGCAGCAAGGGGAGTGCCTTGAAACTGAGGAGATACGACAAAGGGGTTCTTTTTAGCGGTAAACGCGCAAACTTGTGTCTTCTGGGGATTGAACTGGACTAGATTTAGTCGGCCCCAATCCGAGACTTTGTTAAGCAAAGACTCGACTTCAGACACAAGTTTGTCCCGGTACTCGGCGACGTTTTCCCGAGAAATATTGGCACGGCCGGTATATAAGGCATCCCCAGTGCTGTCGTCTGCATAGCAATGAATGCTACCAGTTAGCAACATATCATTGATATGCAGGAGAAACAGCGTTGGTGATAGCACGCAGCCTTGTGGAACACCAGCGTTGATAGGCTTGTAATCAGAGCATGCACCGTCTACTACGACCTTGATGCTCCGATCAGCAAGGAAACTGGTGATCCATTTGCACAATTTCTCGGGAAGCCCATAGGAAGGAAGCTTCGAAAGAAGCGCCTTGTGCCAGACCCGATCGAAGGCCTTCGCTATGTCCAAACTAACGGCCAATGCCTCCCCCTTGGACTCTACTGCCTCCGCCCATCTATGAGTTAAGTAAACTAAAAGATCAACTGCTGATCGACCCCGACGAAAACCGTACTGACGGTCACTGATCAGCTGGTGATCCTCAAGGTACCTCATGAGCTGGCAGTTTATAATGGATTCCATTATTTTGGAGAACAAGGAGGTGATGGCGATAGGCCTGTAGTTGGACGGGTCTGAGCGGTCGCCTTTTTTAGGGATCGGGTGGACCAAAGCTGTCTTCCATGAATTCGGGACTACGCCTTGGGAGTAGGAGTACCGGAAAAGACGCGTTAAAACCGGTGCCAACTCCGGAGCACACGTCTTCAGCACAATGGGAGGGACTCCATCGGGCCCACTCGACTTGCTGACGTCCAGGGAGAAGAGTGCTTTGCGAACCGAGCGCTGTGTAAATCGCACATCCGGCATGGAGCACTCACATCGCGGGATGGTCGGCGGTGTGTTCCCCCCGTCATCTAGAGTCGAGTTGGACGCAAAAAGAGAGCACAACAGATCGGCTTTCTCTTTTGCGGCATGGGCCAGTGAGTCGTCCTCTCTGTGCAGAGATGGGAGGGATGGCTGACAGAAGTTCCCTTGGACAGCCTTGGCGAGAGACCAGAATGCACGGGTTCCCGAAGGAAGGCGAACTAGCTTCTCGCCAATTCTGCCGATGTGCTCAGACCTTGCCTTGGCAATGACGCTTTTGAAGGACCTGGAGGCGGAATTATACTTCTTTTTAAGTGCGCTGGTGTTTAAATCCCGAGACGTTGATGCGTCAGCCCAGGCCCGGTAGCACTCCTGCTTATAGCGTGATGCTATTTTACAGGAGCGACCAAACCATGGTTGGGATCTGCCTCCGATGGGCACCACAGAGGATGGAATAAAAAGTTCCATACCCTGAAGTACCACATCAGCAACAGAATCGGCAACAACGCTGGGATCTTCCGGCGAGAAGCAAACCCGCCCCCAAGGGTAGGATGCAAAAAAAGACCGCATCCCGTCCCAATCAGCTGACCTATAGTGCCAAACACGGCGGCAAGCTGTAGATCGCAACTGCGATTGGAGCGTGAGTGGCACTGTGCTCCGGATCAGACAATGGTCCGAAGAGCCCAGAGGGGCATCGACGGAGACCTGATATCCGTCCGGATGAGAGGTCAGCAGAAGGTCCAACAGGGAAGGTACATGGTCTTCCACATCTGGGATCCGCGTAGGCGAAGTAACCAGTTGTGTTAGACCATATGCCAAAGCAAAGTCGTAGACAGATCTACCCGCATGATCGGTTGAACGATAGTTTTTTTTTTTTTAGTTTTCGACCGAAATTCATTAAATTTTAAAGTTTTTCTATCGCGACAATCTCTACTCCGTACTAAGGTTAAACCACAGACTATTATGTGTTTGACATTGGCAATATGAAAGTAAACAAATTAATAATATTTAGTTATTTTTAATATAATATATATATATTGAACGTATTTTCTAAATTTTTGCTTTCTGCACTCCTTCTCCATGTGAACTTTAAGTATGCCAAATCTCACACTCCTCAGTGCGCGCAATATGTTTAAAAAGGAATACAAAGTTTTCCCTTCACGTATTAAATTATTGATCATTGCATAAAATGTGCTGAAAATTTAAAACCTTATAATTATTAATAAAAAAGTAAGTTACGTTCGCTCGCCAAGGAGCAAACAAAAAAAATTGTTTATCCTTTTTCAAGTAAATCGAAAATAGATTTTGTTTCAAATGTTTTTAGGATATTCACCACTTTTTTTTTATTTATAAAAATAAATGGCAAGGGAGAAATAGTTATCCAGATGCTTTGACTCATAAATACCTACATATATCCTTTATATGGATCAAACCACAATTTTAAAAGAATGGAACGCCCCGTTACCAGTAAAAGGTTATCTGGTTCCGATTAGTCAATATACGAAATAAAGCAGCATTATACTGCTAATTTACGCTCGTATTCTGTGAGAGTGTAATCCTTTCCCCGTCGTGTCGATCCACGGATCCATCAATAGATACACAGATATGAGTCATATAAAAATGAACACATCTTATACTTCATCACAATAAAAGAATAACCTTTTAAAATGTTAAGCAGTGGCTTAACAATGAGTTGCAGCGCTAAGAGCCGCGGCGGGTTCAAATCCCGCAAGAAACTATTATTTGTATGGCCTACAAATAATTCTTCCGGGTCTGGATGTTTGTCCTTCTGAAATATATGTATGTAAACTTCTCACACGATACAGGACAGAACTCTAGTATGGAGGTAACGTTATTAAAATTGATTAAAAAAGTTTATTGTATAAAGCAGTCTTACAGCCTTATCATGTACCAGCAAAATGGTCAGATATATGCCACATAACTCAACATACCTAAGGGTTCTAATATAAATTATTCTCCACAGTAACAGTGTTAATGACCATGTTACTAGTCTCCGGCTATTTAAGGTATTTCTTTATCGATAGACAACGTCAGCCTTCATTATGTTATCTTTACATTCCTTAATAAAAAAAAATTTAAATGGTATTTTTCGTACTATCAACATTATATTATACTATTTCTAATAACACAAATAAATGCGCCTCCATAAACATTTTATATACATGACACACGCGTAGCCTAGTTTATCAGAGTACCTAGGCACTATGCTTAGAATACTGAGTCTGAATCCCAGCTGAAACTAACGTTTAGTATTCAGGTATTCTAAACATTAGGCTAGCGGTTGTCATATATAAATCTTTATATATAAAAATTACGTGTCACGTTGTTTGTCCGTGATGAACTTCTAAACTACTGAACTGATTTCAATGACAATTTGCACACTGTGTAAATTTTGGTCCAACTTGAAAGATAGGATAATTTTTATCCCGATAAATGACCCTTAAAAAATTTTATTGCGAATTTAAGGATTTTCATAGGAAGGGTCAATGGAAAGGGCAGGACAACGTCTGCCTGGCGAGCTAGAAAACGTTTTAACTGCAATTGAAAATTCGTATTATAACCTAATCTATTACGCGTATGCTCTGAGGCCAGGAAGAATATGTGCTCGGAAACACCAGCCTTCCTTGCCCCAACGGTACGGTTCCGCCGTGCGTCTTATTTACGTCGACTCTTCATAAGCTCCTAATAAAAAAAAAATTGTTTTTCAGCTACATACCGCTCAAGAAATCGCCGAGAACTCGGTTACGTGGGCGAATCCGTTGATCCATTTGACCCTCAAGAAGTTGAGAAGTACATCGTTGCGGAATTCGGAAACAAAGCCTGCGTGTTTGAGCGAATCTGTGCTCATTACGCTGTACGAGCGCGGTCTCAACCTCGCACACAGTTGGATTGGTCTGATGTTTTTAGGTAAATATTAAATGTTCCTTCTAATCTTTATATATAAAAATTACGTGTCACATTGTTTGTCCGCGATGAACTCCTAAACTACTGAACTGATTGCAATTAAATTATGCACACAGTGTGCACTTTGGTCCAACATGAGAGATAGGATAGCTTTTATCCCGATAAGTGAACTTAAATTTTTTTATTGTTAATTTCAGGAGTTTTTTTTTAGGAAAGCAAATGGTCGTCGCAAAGGGCAGAACGTCTGCCGGGTCAGCTAGTTTATTATATAATGTTGTATTTTATTAAGGAAACCCATTTCAGCTTCCTCTCATTTTTAAGAGGGTTATAGTTATACTAGAGCAGTTAAAAGCATGATCTAAATAGTATTTAAGCTGTTATAACGTTGTATTTAAATTCATACCCAAGGACAATTTTCTTTTACTAACTTGCTTTATGTTGTACATTTTAAATATTTCTCTAACAAGTACATTGAACCACATCACTGTCCTTGACACGGCTACGCAACCAAGTTTCTATTTTTTGAAACGTCAAATTTAAATTAGGGGTTTCAATGCCATGTGCAGCGCGAGTGGAATCCAGGTCACTGGGCGGGTAATTCGTTGTGTAAGCGCAACGACTTGCGACCGCTGGTCTGCAAGTGGGACATCGATGTAATAACCAATACGCAATCGGAAGGGTCATCGTATTGTGGTGGACATCATGTATAAACCCCAATCCATTTAGTCACTCTAAATGGATTGGGGTTTATGCGTGCTTAGTTACAGCTACATCTAGGTACTTAATTGATGACTCGATAACGATCGAAATAAATAATATTGATGAATTAAAATAATAAATATTGTTTAATGCTTTTCCCTCCTATTATACATAAATAAGTTATTTAATTTCTGCTATACAATTCTAACTACAAATTTAATTGGGCATTTAATTTTTTGCCACACATAAATAAGAGCATTTAATTTTTTATATATTTTTTTATATATTACCAAAATTGAAATAACTTGTGTAAAGTGTTTCTACCACCATGTTCCAAAGTGGGTTTACTCGTGTTTGATTTTTAAATTTGCTAGTTTTTTATCGCTATGTTAATACAGCTCAGTACAAAAGTTATTATTTTAAAGTTATTTTTTAAAGTACACATTTAACTAGGTCGTACGAGTATCAAGCATGAGTCAATATATGCGACTGAATTGATACTATAATATAATCCTATTATTTATAACATAATTTGTATTATTTCTAATTTATACATCATTTCTAATTTCTAACTTATTATTATCAAGCTTACAAAAGTTTAAATACAACTTTTTTTTTAAATTAATATACGCAAATTAAACGACACAAAAAATATATAGAGAATAGGAATAAAGCATAGTAGAAAATACTTATTTTTTTTAAATTAAAATAGTACATTTTATTTAAAAAATCTAAGTGTTGGTAGGTTACCGTTGTACTGTATTCGACGTCCGAGGTAAGCCAGTAGTATTATGCAATGCCACAACGTACTTTCACTGCTCCAAGATGTAGATCGTTGCCAATCTAACTGAACTTTGTATGAAGTTCTTTAAAGTACATTGCAAATATTTTTTTAAATTGTATAGAATATAATTCAAAATTAAAAATTTTGTACAGCCGACTTCAATATAAGTTATTAAGAATAACTCAAATAACTCAAAAACTATTGGTCTGAGCTTGATTAAATTCATATGGGACCACACGAGAAGTATCAGTTTTTATATAAAAAAGAATCATCGAAATCGGTCCACCCAGTAAAAAGTTATGAAGTAACACACATTAAAAAAAACATACGCGTCAAATTGAGTACCGTCTCCTTTTTGGAAGTCGGCAGAAAATAGCTTTGTATAATAAACTAGGTATGATAATATTGCAGAATAATAAAATCTGTGCTTGAATACAATCGTGAGAACTTATAAGAATTGTTCACCATGAGATTCAATATACTGCCGTGTTATCAATGCTAATCTAGGCTAACATGTCTCAATAGCATATATTATATTGTGGCTTGTTACGGTTTTCTATATTTATATCAATTGATATGTTTTAAATATACCATACCATTACAGTGCATTATGTCCACTGCTAAACATAGGCCTCCGCCATAGATTACCTCATTAACTGGGGACGCGTTGACAGCCGCAGAGTTTTTATTATTTTGACTTGTTATTAAAAAGATGCTGCTGCACACCTTCTGGCTTATCTACCTCTATTGCCTATTACGACACCGACATAACGACATGGGTTAATGGATATTCTTACACCAACGTTACACGGTGCCAGTAGACATATTATATAAGTAACATTATAAGAATTACTTAGAAATCGCGACATTGACATATCATTTTAGTGCTTTTGGGTTGGACCTATTTCCTGTACCTAAAAATAAAACAGTTAAATAAAATAAGAAAGTAAGGATATCGTATTATTGAAGTCATAGATATCGAAAAAACTGCGTATGTAAAGCGTACTTAAGCCAAGATATATTTTTTTTTTACTTTAAGTAATACACATTAAACAATATATAGAATAACTTTTTTATGTTATCTTATTTTATTCCACAGACAATACAAGCGATCTCAAGACCAAGCCAAAGAACTGTATCTCTTAAGCGTGTTCCTCGGAGATATCGTCGGATCACCACAACTTTGTCATCAGCTCGGAAAGAGGAGGCCGTGTGATGAGAACCTTCTGGGTAGTTCATAGTGATAAAAATTTAATTATTAACCGACTATCTAGTTATAATAGAGAAATTATATGCGACTTTTGAAAGAAAAAGAGTATGTGTAAATTGGACAAGAGTGAGTGAGCGCATTCGCTTATCTTAACAAGCCTCATTTTTAATGATGTCGCGATAAGTATGGCGAGTAATCGGTGGAAGATTACTCGTCATACCCTATGGCAAACAATTGAAATAATAGTCAAAATTATTTGACAAAAACACCACTATATTATTTGTAATAAACAACTATAACATTTATGAAAGAAAAGAGTATATGTAAATTGGACAAGAGTGAGTGAATGAGTGCATTCGCTTATCTTAACAAACGTCATTTGTAAAGATGCAGCGAATAGTTTTATGGCGAGTAATCGGTGAAGAACTACTCGTCGTTCCCTATGGCGAACAATCGAAATAATTGTCAAAATTATTTGAGGAAAAAAACCGCTATATAATTTGTAATAAACAACTATAACATATCTCTAATGGTCTCCAACCTATCAAATTTTAATTTTTTTTTGCTTATATGAGTATGGATCCTAATGTAATTATACGATTTTTCAGAAATCAAATACCCTAAAATATCACCATAATTTCTAAAATTGACACTAAAACATTGTTTGTACAGAATAAAACTTAATTATAATTTGATTTGTTTTTAATCTGTAATGTAGTAAATCTGTATTTTAAAGCCATGTGAAGCAATTATTCGCAGATGTCGAATAATAGACAATTTCGCTATTTCAAAAATTAATTCATTCATTAAAGTCTATTATAAGTCTACTGCTTAACATAAGCGACGGCTATAGATTGCCATAGTTGCCATGCTTGAAATCAACCGCATGTTCTTATTATTTTCGGCTGTTGCATCAGGAAGATACTGTTCTTTAAATAATGCTAATTTTACGGACTTTATCGCGTATATTATCTTTTTTTATATTACCGACGTTTCGAGTACTTTACAGCACCCATGGTCACGGGAGGGTTTGACGTTCCAATGTCATAGTTAATCACGTATGCTTGGGTTGGGATTTACTTTTATTAATTATAGGATCCCAAGCAGATGGTAGCACCCAGCAACCTTCTGTATTGAAATTAGTATGTTTTTTTAATTTCAATAGCCTCGCGAATCATCCTTGGAAGGAAGCGGTGTTCTTTAGCGAGGATTTGTGGTCTATCAAATCTTATGTAGTGCCGGGGTCGATCCTGTACGTGTTCACAGACTGCTGACTTCCCGGAGCGTCGAATCTTCACATCAGCTATGTGTTCTTTAACGCGGTTTATTGTTCATTTCATTTAAAACTAAACAAAAAAACTTCGAATGCAAACGAAAAGCAAATAATAGCTAACCACAGCATACTGAGTCATATGTTAAGCTTCTATAATTTTGCGCTCAACCATCTCTGGCTATCTCACAACTTACCATGAGGTGAAATAGAAACACTGGCTAATTACAGGTAAAATAAAATTTAGAAATCATCATCGTTAAAAGATTTTGGTGCAGAGTTCTTTAGATATAACACAAAAAAACTTTTCCTTTAGACCATTTCTACAAGTAATGGATGCTGTATATACAGTAGTCATTTCTTATGGATCCTATTGGCTAAGGTTTTTAAAAAAGGACAAAAGAGGCGTACCTATAAGTTTTAAAATAATTGGCATAATATAAAACTGGCCAAGTGCGAGTCCGAAGTTTAAAATTTTATTAAAAATATTTTTATTATATGATGTAACTAAAAATTTATGCTTTTCTCACTTTTTCCTTTATTTGTGCTATAATACGTTGCTTCGTACCAAATTTTAAGATTCTGAGTTCACGGGAAGTACCCTGTTGGTTTTGATTCCCTTGCGAATATCGAAAATTTGCGACATAAACGGTTTATCTTTTGATTGCGTTGGCTTAGAAGTTTGATTTTTTCACAGCTCTAAAGGACAGTAGATTTGAGTATTTGGTATGAATTTCAGCTTGATACATCCACGCGTTCCTGAGAAAAAGGGTCTTGACAGACAGACAGACAGACAGACAACAAAGTGATTCTATAAGGGTTTTAGTTTTTTCCTTTTGAGGTACGGAACCCTAAAAATTAAAAGAAAACATTATTTTACTTTAATCCACACATGATTTACATTAAAATCAAATTATTTTCTAGGAATAGCAACGAAGTCACTGAATATACAGAATTTATTAAACGATTATAGTTACCATTTCATATAATACCCTTAATAAATTGTTTCAAGCATGTAATACCCTTAGCAAAGGATAATCTAAAGTCTAAAATTTCTGTACAACAACACCCATGGGAAGATATGGGTTAATGGATTCCGGCTGACCGTTACGAAATGCGAGTAAATTATGCAGTTGTATATTTAGGATGGCCTCTTTACCGTCGGCCAGGCTACCGTAGCTGTCTGAATAATCCCCAATTAAAAAAACATCACTGCCCAACGTTAGCAGAAAGAAATCTGTCATCAATATATAGAATTCTACTTAATTTACGAGTAACTAAATTTAAATTTTATATCAATTCGATAATAACATACTTTAGAAAAATACGAATTAGGTAATAGTGGAATTGTATATAATTTGTAACAAATTTTTAGCAAAAGGCCGAAGACTAAAAAAGGTTTTCTATTTTAGTTATTATAGTTTATTGTTCTTTAACCACATCAAAATACAGTGATGTTTTATGTAGTTACCAATGTGTTAAGACTTTCCTATTAATGACGATTTGTGATAGATAGGAGTATAATTAAATTTAAATTTAGTTATCAATTTTTATTATATATAATTATTTCTTTTATATTGCGTAAATACAATATATTGAATAAAACTAATTTTACAGATTTTATGTTTAATTTAATTTCTTTTAATGCCTTAGTTTTAGAGTGCAAAGTAATCTACTATACGTAAAAGTAGTTTTATTCATCTGTTTTTTTATACTATGTTAATTAATAAAGAAATTTGTTATACATATTTACGCGAACACTAAACATTTAACAAAATTATTTTTACGGATTTAATACTTAAAAATGAAATCAGAGATCAACCATTCAGTTACATTCTATCCTCCGAAACAGATATCACACCACGTTGGGTTTGGAAACAACGAGGTAGGCGTGACCCCTGAGAAGGTGTGCCACTCAAAGCTCGTCTTCCTCTTTAAAGGTTAGACGACTAAGATTATGGGTCCCTATGGAATGGTCTTGACACCTGATATCAATGTTTTTCACTTCCTACGTTTCTAGTGTTTTCTAACGCGATAAAATCCGTAAAAGTAGTTTTATTCAATTATTTTATATGTTTATTAATCAAACATTTTGTAAAGTGACGATTTTTTTACTTTAGTATTATGATAAATACAAAGTAAAAAGGTAACATGGTATAGGTTTAATTGTAACATATTTAGAGTTAGTTATGTAGATATAAAGAAAAGTTAGACGTTAGACGGTTTTTGGGTAAAAAAGTGGTATTATTATATATTGTTCTTTACAAAAAATTTTACTTGTCATACTTTTTGTATGTAACAATAGGAAATAAGTACAATATGAATGTATTTTCTGTTCCTTTAGCTTTATAACTTGATAAAAATAAACTGATTGAAATATCAATAGTAATATTGTATACAGAGACTTAAATTTTAAATTTAAAAATTAATGACGTTTACACTATAGACGAGGTGATGAGGATCTACAGAAATATAGAGATATCTGCTATAAATTTCGTAAAACGGCGAAATTTGTAGAACATTTAAAATGTAATTCTTTATAATTATTTATATAACATCGTGAATTCTTCCATTTAGATGCCACTTTAATAATCACTTACTTTTTTACTGTTTTCCTGTTGTTAGCTGTTAATAAACAACAAAACACTACAGAAAATTGTAAATAATTTTATAGTATTGTTTTCATTATTATATGTATTAAAGAATTTGGAAATTAATTTGTTTTATATTATTAGAATTTATTATTGATGATCTCAAACTAACAAAAAAGGGTAGACGGGGCACTGCAGCATAAGTAACACCGAAACGAAGCCAACATTCAACTAGAATTATAGATTAAAAATTAGAAAAGAGCTCTGTTTATCTTTCTAAGTTAGTCAGAGTTGACTATTTTATTTTGAAAACTCGATAGGTAATACAATAGCTCAGCGTTTGGTAGCACACTAATCCTGTCCGTATATACTATATTTACGGCCTACAAATAATTCGGTCCTATTCCGGATTACATATGCAATTTTTTTATGTAAAACGCCCTAACTCCCTACAATTCTGAAGAAGTTTCAAAAGTGGAGATAGCATTGTTTTTATCATCATCATCATTATCATTATCACTAAAGCCCTTCACAAATACCACTGTTGAACATAGGTCTCACTCAAGAAATGTCACAAACACGGTACTGAGCCACCTGCACTCATCAACTTCCTGCATTTCTTGCCAGGTCGTCACTTCATATAGCGTTATTTTAAATTAAAAACGACGACTATCTAACAAACCACCGGTAAACGGCTACTATAGCCCGTGTACTTCAGTAACTTCAGGTTAAAAAGGCCACAAATGTGTTGGCAGCCATATACTGAATCTCTTTCTTCTTTAGATTGAAACACAACAGTGCCCGCATTCCTACTTCATTAACACACGATATACAAAATAGATAAGAGAGTAATATCATCATTTCATCATCATTACAGCCTTTCATAAGTCCACTGCTGAACATAGGGCAACCCCAAGGAATGCCACAAAGCACGGTCCTGAGCCACCTGCATCCATCGACTTCCTGCATGTCTTACCAGGTCGTCACTCCATCTCGTGGGGCGTCTCCCTACACTTCGCCTACCGGTACGAGGTTGCCACTCAAGAACCTTTCTCCCCCATTGGTTGTCGGTTCTTCGAGCTATATGGCTGGCCCACTGTCACTTCAGCTTATTAATCCGATGGGGTATGTCGGTTACTCTGGTTCTACTGCGGATATCCTCATTCCTAA